AAAAAAAAAAAAAAAAAAAAGGAAAAAATAAATAAACGAAATATAAAATCCAAGAAAGAATCTATTATTTATCAAAAATACAACGAAAAACGTGGACAAATTTGCAAAGAATCAAGAAATGATTGGGGATTAAGATAATCGCTAAAGCTGAGGCAATCGAAAACTTTCTATACTTTCTCATGCACAATTTTATTTTCAAACTAAAATATATAATCCACGATAAAAGTACTAATAACCATCATTAAACACCGAGGGAAGTAGCAAGAAAACAGAATGGACCCATTGAGTGGAAACGGAAACTGAAGAAGCGAAACCGAAACGAGTGAAAGGAGAAACACGATTCTCGATCGTCGACTCTATTGTTTTCTCTGACTACCACTATTATTATTCACGGGGAAAAACGTAGAAGTAAGATTGTAGAAAGATCGACTGAAAAACGATTCTAAACGAACACGAGTTAAAAGTGTCGTAATTTTCTTTTCTTTTCTTTTCTTTTTTCTTTTTTTCTTTTTGTATATAATTTGGAAGTATTTTAAAATATTTCAAAATTTATCATCTAGGTGCTTTTAACGAATATATCATTTGTGAGAAGTATAATTGGCACAAGTGTGGAAATAAATTAGAAATATTTGGAAAATTTGAAGCAATTTAACAAATACGTAATCGCATTTTTACTTATTAATTTTAACGACTTAAAAGACGGAAAATAAACTTTCAATTCTTGAATATTTTCTTGTAATGATATTTAACATTCTTTGTAAAGAAATTTTTATAATTTGACAGAATGTGAAATTTTTTTGATTCAAATTCAAAATTTTATAGATTTTTCTTTTACAATATTTTAGTGACTAATATATGAAATGAACAAACTATAAATATACTTTTCAGACATTTTTTTCAAAGAATTGTAAAATTCCTCAAAATTTATTTCTAAAATTCTTATTATCGTAACCTGTATTATTATCATTAATTGTTGATACAAAAAAAAAAAAAAAGAAAAAGAAAAGAAAACGGAAGGGGAAAAATGATGGCAATTAAAACGAGAAATTGTTATCGCGAAAAATTATTCGTGAAACGCTCACGAAACGAAAACTGTTTACCCCATACTCTCGATTTACGCTCGAACGCGGGAGAGATCGTCTTTCGTCGCACTTGCAATTTCTTTCCCCTCTTCGCCGCGCGACGCAAAAAGAATCCGAAAAATCCGTCATCGGAGGGACGAGAGTTAACGAC